TTTTTTGAAGGATGCAATGAGCTTTGCTCCAGTATGCTTCTGAGCAGGTCCATCAGTCCAACCATGCAATACTTGTCTGTGGGGGAGCTCCAGGGACTTGTGGACATGGTGCAAGTCAAACTGCTTTGAGTGGGGAGGAGGTGGTGGAGCAAGGACCCGACAGGTCGGGTTGCTAACGCCGGCCCTTCTCTTGCAGAGTGCTGGACTGCTTTGCTCACCAGCAAGCCATGGCCGTGGATGTCGCGATGCAGCTCTCCCTGTGCCCCTCGCCCCTGCGGCGGGAGAAGCGTGCCTGCAAGATCGCCCCGGCGCCCCTCAAGCCGCTGCGGCCCTGCATCCAGCTGAGCAGCAAGACAGCACCGGGCGACCCCGAGCAGGCGCCCAGCTCCTTCCCCGAAAGCAAGGCCAAGAAGAAGGTGTCGTTTGCCGACAGCAGGGGCTTCGCCCTCACCATGGTGAAGGTGTTCTCGGAGTTCGACGACCCCCTGGACCTTCCGTTCAACATCACGGAGCTCATTGATAGCCTCGTGGGGCTGACAGCGGTGGAGAGGGACAGCTTTGTGCTGGACTTTGCGCAGCCCTCGTCGGACTACCTGGACTTCAGGAACCGCCTGCACACGGACTGCGTGTGCCTCGAGAACTGCACGCTCAAGGAGCGCTCCGTGGCGGGCACGGTGAAGGTGAAGAACCTCGCCTTCGAGAAGGCCGTGAGGGTCAGGATGACGTTTGACACGTGGAAGACCTTTGTAGACTACCCGTGCCAGTACGTCAAGGATGTGTACGAGGGCTCCGACAGGGACACGTTCTCCTTTGACATCAGCTTGCCCGAGGGAATCCCGTCCCACGAAAGGGTCGAGTTTGCCGTCTCCTTTGAGTGCAACGGGCAGGTGTACTGGGACAGCAACAAGGGCACCAACTACAGGATCACACGCTCCGGACTGAAGTCTGCCCAGGAAGCCTTCTGCCCCTCGAGGGGCCCCGACTTCAGCAGTGCCTTTGACCAGTTTGGCAGCCCCCGCTGCTCCTACGGCCTCTTTGCCGAGTGGCCGAGCTACTTGGGCTATGAGAAGCTTGGGCCCTACTACTAGCGTGGGGGGCTGCATCCTGCTCAACTAACTGCTGCTGGTGCGTCCGCGGGCCCGTGCGCGAAGACACTGCGTGGGGAAGAGGTGATGCTTCACGGAGCCCTGCCAGAGGAGATGGGTGCTGGAGGGTGACTTGGGCTCAGGGAAGCCTCCCTGGCCTCTCTTGGGCGGCCTCCCCCATCTTAAGTCAGCCCACTGGCTCCCTGGATGCCGAAGGAACGGGAGGTGCCGCTCCGTTTGCTGCTGCTAGTCCCTCCGTGAAGCTGCTGGTCTCCAGAGACACTTGCTGCTGTGCTTGGCTTGTCTGTCTAAGCTACTTTAGTGGTGGTTGGTTTGTGTGCTGCTTGCTAGTGTTTAACTTTTTTTTCCAAGTATTTTTGTAGTATTTCTTTAGTGTGCTGCACTTGAGCTTGGTGGCAGGGCCCCTCCTGCTGCAAAGCTGAGCTGTGCCTGTCGGGAAATGTAACTTATGAACTGCCTAGTTTCTGGGGGGCAAGTCCTCTTCTCGCCTCCAGCCTTGTAGCGCGGGATCCTCTCTGCTTGGCGTGGAAGAGGTTATTTCTTTGGAAATGAAAACCCAACCACGGTGGGGAACGTCACCCCGCTGTATTAGGAGACCTACGTGCCCCCTGAGGGGAATGTGTGTGCGTAGAGTCGCTGGTTGTTTTATCAGCTAATCTTGAAGGGTTTTCATCATATCTGTGGTGGTGGTAGCTAAAAATAGAGCTGTGTGGTGCTCCCAACAGCTGTGGGCTGACAGCCTGGACTCTTTTCTTCAGGACCTTCCCATTTTTAAAAACATAAGTGACTGATGATGCTTTTCCCCCTCGGTCCCCCATCCAAATCGGCCACTGGCCTTTCCGGATCCCTGAAATGCAATTTGCTCCCCCTACAAACTGCAAAGCAGGGTCTTGCTCTCTGCAGTGATAGGAGAAGACCCCAGGCCCACTGTGGTGGGAGGGACCTGCCTGGCAGTGCAGTGTATGTGTGATAGCAGCAACGGTTTACAGGTTGCTCTCCATGTTCCTCGTGTGCTAGCTGAGCAGAATAGCTTGCTCCCCATGCTCAAAGGGCAAATAGCTTATAGAAACAGGTCAAGAGAGTATATTTTTTCTAGTGTCTAAGCTCTGTGTATATTTTTGGGGGGGTGCCTATAATAGCCTCTGTTGGAGGGGCTTGGAGAGAAGCAAAGTACCAGACGACTCAACTTTTAAACTTAGCTTTTAATTCTGGAGACTGCTGTGTACAAACACCTCTGAGCTGTTCTGCCCTAACATAGCCTATGTGCTGAGATTGCAGTGGGATGCTGAAGGGTCAAGAAGAGCTCGTGGAAGGCATGGCTAACCTGCAGTCGCTGCTTTTTTTTCCTCTCTCAAATCCCAACATTTTACATCTTATCGCTGTGCTTGACTAAATTGCAGGCAGCCTGCAACTGGCTTGCTAGCCCAGAGCTCCTCAGCCTTGACATCCCTGTTCAGACAGCATCCTGCACCTCCCCATAGGGTCCCTCTCAAGGGACCGCTGCCTGGCTTGGCTTGAAGCTGCTTTTTAGCCATAAAGCAAATAGGAGCAATGCCAATCTAGGATTTAGTGTGTGAGATGTCAGTGCTCTGAAATGCAGGTGGCAGGAGAGGTGTGTGTTCTCCTCATGTGTGGTGGCCTGAGGGAAGGTATGTCGGTCCAGGGTGCTGTGGATGGTGGTATCTCCTCTTGGGGCCCGCATGCTCGCAGGCCATGGAAGCGGTGTGCTGAGGCAAGAGCAGGGAAGATGAGCTAGGAGAGCAATAACGTGCGTGGAAGAGAGGCTTGGGACTGACTCTCTGACCAACAGTGGTTTAATGTTACTGCTTGTGGCCTTTTCCCCTCTCCCCTTTTCCATTGCTAATGTGAATGTAAAAGCGAGGGGCTGCTCTCCTCCCTCTATGCCTGGAAGTGCCTTGTGGGGTTTTTTTCTGCATGTCTGTTTTTAAAGGATATTTTTTGTACACAACACTCAAATGAAAAGGATGCACTTTATAATCGCAATGTAATGACTCTCCTTTTTTTTTAAAAAAAAAAAAAAGTGGTTCTGTTTTTATCTGATTGTTAAAATAAAGATGGAACAAAAACCCTGGCCACATTCCTTGCTGTGTTTGTCATTAAACACCCGTGGGACCCGCTTCCCGCAAGGAAAGCAGCCCTTGGCAGGGAGTTGCATGTGTCCCAGCGGATTCTCCTGCGCCAGCCGGGAAGGAGCTGCCTCTTCACCTGACTTCCTGGCCGCACAAATGTACCGAGCGGCTCCCGGAGCCTCTGGAGCAGTGGGAAGCTCCCCCTGCTTTGGCATAGGGCTGCAGCCCTCCCAGGGCTCCTCCTCTTGGGAGATGCTCTCTTGTCCTTAGTGGAAAAGCAGATTTCTCCCCTGGCTGTGGATGGGCTCCTCTAGTACCAAAAAAGGGATGTTTCACTCTGAAAATATGCTGGTTCAGGCTGATGGGAGCAGAGGTTTGAGACTGTGGCACGGCTGGTCCTGGGTGAGCTCTGGAGCTTCTCCGCTCACCTCTGCTCCTGAGCCAGGCTCCTCTTGTTTGCACGGCTGGGAACAGCCTTTTCAGGTTTTACTGCATTTATCCTGAGGCAGTCTGCCACACAATCAGCTCTTTTTCCTTTTCCTGGCTGACTGTAAGGGGGGAAAAATCCAATGCAAGGTCTGCCCTAGCTCTTTCATATGGCCTTGGCAGTGGGGTGTGCAATTGTGTTAGGAGGGTTGGGCATGGATACCAAAGAGAAGCAACAAATTGTCCCTTTTTTCCCCCCCTCAAGCTGCTTACTGCTGTTGTCACTGCAGTAAAAGTGTAGGCTGGAAACTTGGGCTGCTGCAGAAGGGGGACAGGTCTGATGTAATTGTCTAACAGGGCTTAGATCATGAACTTCACCTGGTTTTGAACATACAGTGCGAGTCCTGGAGGCTTCTTGCTATGCCGAAGTGTGCAGAAATGAAACTGCTTGTGGCTATTTCTGAGTTTCTTGCTTTCTAAATACAAAGCAGCTTTGCAGGGTGCTTTGCCGTTCGCTAAGGTGGGTAAAGATCTCAGCTTCCTTCATTCAGGCCTTGCATGGAGGGGAAAAAAAAGGCATGGTGACAAGGTGAGGTGCAAGCTGGAAATCTGTTCCCTGTTACAATTTCTCCTTTCTAGGAGCAGAGGAAGGGGAAAAAAAATGTTAAAAATGCCCTTTTTTTTTTTTTTTTTTTTTCTTTTCCTGTCTTCCCGCCCTTCTAGCATGTCCCCAGCTGACTGGGGCAGTGTGTCCCTCTCGGCGACCCTTGCCTAGATGCAAGCTCCCCCCAGTCAGCCGCTTCCTGCAGCGCTTTGGTGACGGAAACCCCTGTGACGCCGGCTGCCCGGAGAGGAGGAAGTTGAGGCCGCGGCTCTCGACGTGCAGGGGCTGCCCGGGGAGCTCGCGAGTGCGCGTGGTTCTCCCCTCCGTCCTGCGCGTTGCCGGAGGATGCAGAGCGCGGCGTGGTGCCGCGGGGCGCTCGCTGATTAACCCCACGGGGAGCGTTTTTGGGGTGCTTTTGGGTCCAGGCACCAATGCAAGCTGGGCTGGGCCCTTGCAAAGCGCATGGTCCCTCTGACCCAGCGATGCTGTCCCAAGAGTTGCTCTCTGCACCCGCATCCCAGCAGGACCAAGTCGGAACTGCTGGAGAGGCTCCTTGGAGGAGGGCCCTGCACCCTGGGGAGGGCCCAGGGGCATCTGCTGCTCCTCATCCTCAACGAGAGGGTCTTTGCAGGGACCCTCCGCTGCCCTTGCCCTCAGCCTGGTCCTGCATAATCCCATTATTCCCACACGCTGGCTCCTGCTGAGGGGCCGGGAGCTGCTCCCATAAAGCACGGTGATGCTGCCCTTTCTTTCTGATGGCGCCGGGCTTCCAAGGGCCACGGAGCAGCAGGAAAAGTGTCCCAGGCTGCCTCCAGCCTCCTCCCTGCCGGAGGGGTAACGTGCCAGGTGCAGTTAGCAATGCTTAATGACTCTTGGCTCTTTCCTAAGGTATTAAAAAAAAAAGAAGGATGTCTTTGTTGGAAATGAAGTGTAGTTGGCATGTTCCTTCAGTGCAAATAAGTCAGAGCAGTCACCAAAGAGTCATTAAGCACTTTGGCTTTACCCTAGGACAGGGCTGCAGGGAAGCACCTCCAGCCAACGTGTTAGTCACAGGCCCTCTCTCTTACTGCTGCTGAAATGTAATCCTATATCAATAAAGCGAGCGAAGAAGGAGGAGGAAATGTTCATATCCATTAGAGGTGTGCTCAAAAGACCGTAAGAACAGAATGAACCAGTAAGGACGTCTCTCTCCAGACACTTTGGTGGTTCCAAGCTATTTGTGGTGCATGTTTGTGTCTTGAGATTGTGTTGATATTTTTCTCTTTAATACATCCTGGATAGATTCAGCTAGGAAGGGACCTCTGGATGTCTCTGTTCCAGGTAGCACCAGCCCCGCAGATAGTCCAGGCCCCACAGCTGCTGATGAGCCAAAGGGTGGAGATGCCACCATGTCCCTGCACCATTCTCCCAAGGAAAAAAAATGCTCCTCTCCTTGCAAGGAGTGAACTATTTGCCAAGAAGACCAGCCAGGTAGGGATATCCAGTAGGGATATCTCGTTTGGAATATCCAGGGATATCTAGGTAGGGATATCCAGCAGGGATATCCAGTAGGGATATCCGATAGGGTTGTCTAGGTAGGGATATTCAAGAGGGTTATCTAAATAGGGATATCCAGCAGAGATATCTAGGTAGGGATATCTAGTAGGGATATCCAGTAGAGTTGTCTAGGCAGGGATATCCAGTAGGATTGTCTAGGTAGGGTTATTCAATAGGGTTATCTAAATAGGGATATCCTGTAGCGATATCTAGGTAGGGATATCCAGGAGGGTTGTCTAGGTAGGGGTTGGTGCATCCCTGGAGCTTGCAGGGAGGAGGAGAGCCCATGTTCTCCCGCGGAGGAGCAGGCAGCTCGTGGTCCCCTG